TCAAAAAGGTCATCCTTAAGTTCAGGCGATGTTATATTTTTTATTAGGCATGAACATTTAGTTATATGCTGTTGTATGTGCTCCAATGTACTTCCCCGGTAGCGGGGTTTCGTGATTTCACTTCGATAATCAATTGTGCATATTGCACAATGGCAGGTCATGCCTACAACAAGTTGCAGCTTTGCTGCCTTTAATTTTATCATTACTTTGCCTAGGAGTCATTGTTGTAATAAGCTGTGACTGGCTTTTTGACAGAGTTTTTATCCTGTGTTTTTCGGATTTTTCATGATTTGATATGCGAATAATTCTTAGTACAACAGTGCACTGACACAGTTTACAATCTGCTGCCTCTGATCCGTCTGAAGATTTTTTGAGCCGTGTGTATGTTTTCTTCCAGTTACTATTATACTTTCAATATCATAAGATGCTTTCCATTTTTTTGAATGACGTGGTCATTGGTAAAAGTAATAAAATCTATCCCAGATATAACTAGGTCTATATCCTCTCTATTTCTGTCCTCAAGTAGTTTCTGAACAGTTTGAATCACTTGGTATCAGTGGCGGGTTTTGGTTTTATGTCCCACATTTATTCTGGTAAATTAACATAAATTACAGAGGGCCTTGTTTTATCGAAGTCACGATCCGTTTAGGGAGACAACAAATACAATAAGAAACAGTGAGAATCTCTGTTAGTCCGTACCAGGACATCACAACAAAGTCAAAGTGAAATAAAGATGTTAACTGTAGGTCTATATTGCTTTTAGTATATCTGCGTGTATCTGGATTGGCTTTTTACCCCACCAGGACATCACCAGGACATCACAACAAAGTCAAAGTGAAATAAAGATGTTAACTGTAGGTCTATATTGCTTTTAGTATATCTGCGTGTATCTGGATTGGCTTTTTACCCCACCAGGACATCACACAAGCGATAAACACCCGATGACACAAAGTGCCACCATGCGGATGAGGATCACCGTGGAGAGGTCCCAGAAACCGCGTTCAGACATTTGGCCATAATGATGACCTGCCTATATTGCGGCCCCTGGCAAAAGCCAGAGTGGGGCTTCAAATAACAAAAAATAACGTCCTAAGAAGGACATAAGGAATAATGCGTGTATCTAACGGAGGAACCATGAAGCAAATGTGAGCACATCTTGATGAGAAAAGCCAGGAAGAACCCAAATATGCCAGTTCAATTTCAAATATGCTAATTTTATGGAATCTGGCATAAAAATGCCAATATGGCAACCCTGCTGTATTCCCTGGCTCGAACCCGAGACCGTAGGCATGGGGATTGTCCTGTAAAACGACTATAAAAAAAAAACCACACAAAAACTATGTTGTTAAAGGGACACAACTACTCAGTTATTTTTCTCGAAAAACTCTGATAGTTATCTTCCTTCTTCTATGTTTGCTTCTTCTTTTTTCTTTTGCGTTCACCTGCTGTAAACTCTGGGGGAAAATTCTGGCCGTGTGTCCATTTCTGGGCTTTGCTCTTGTTCCAAAACTTGAGGTTGTGTGCGCATTCGTCTTTTATAGATCTGGCTTATTTGTATGCAGACTACTGGTTCCTTCCCAGTCCCTCGGGCAAATGCACTTCGACTTAGGAGGAAACACCCCTGATTAGTCGACTTGTTCGACATGATTGTTAGGGAGGCAGTAGGTATATTTTGTTGCTGCCCACGATTAAAGCATGGAAGTGTAATACGGACACAATCATTCAGCGACTATCGCCATTGTCTGCTGAAGATGGTGACAGAGTGGTTATGAGAATGTCCCAATTGCACTGCTACATGGCAACGCACTATTTGCGTATTAATTACTCAATCTATTTGTTTCTTTTCCTGGTTAGTTTTGCCCCATACAATTCTTGAATTATTCCGCGTATAACAATTTTTAATTACTTTAATCATTCCATTTCGTTCAGATTTGTAACCTTACGCCCTTCTGTTCCCTGAACTACTTTAACGTCAGTTTGTGAAGACATGAATATTTCTGAAGTACTGAGGACAAACCCCCCCCCCTCTTCCTGTGTGTGTGTTCTGTGGTCACATGGGGCAGGGAATAGATGCACTCGCCCCCACTAATCAAGAGAAACACATTTGAATACATATTTTACCATTTTTATATGAACTCATTAATACATAATAAATTCTTCAAGATATTTTGCTCACTAAAAGTTCCTTCCTACCATATGTCAGAGACGTTCAGTCAAAACAAACCCAAACAAAACTTTATTGACCATGGAAATTAGATACTGGAGAAACGCTGCAGGAGCGAGCAGAAGAGATAAAATCAAAATGAAGACCAGACAATGGGCAAGAGACTCTGTAATGTACATACAAAGACCGCAACAAAAAATGGTGTGCAAAATGAGAGAGAATGCACTGGGACGCCAAACCAAACAAGGCAGATCAAAGAGGATAGGGACGTCGAACAATCGGTGACCTATGAACAAGATGGAAAGATGACATTCAAGAAACTCTACAACATCACGACGTATCGATGTTTCAGGCGGCCAGAAGGAAACACCCCCATCCCCTTTTCCCCCCAAGATTGCATTCAGCTGGATTAACATCCAGATAGATATAGTTTCGTCGCCCAGCTTCTGAGTTGAGTGCATAGCATGACACTGTGAGCTACGTGTGTTTTTCGTTGGCACAGGAGCGGAGGAACTATGGGGTGACCCGTTTGCTATGAAGCTGAAACTAGGATTACCAGATTACCAGATCCAGGAAGCAGTGTACGACAGCGTAATACAGTTTTGATTAAAAATTTTTTTTTTTCAGAACACGCTATTGTTAACCCTTTCAGTGCCACGCGACTCTATATATGTTTATTTCAATGAGTATCGTCAGGAAGATAAAGATGGGCTGGGTCTGAAGACAATGGTTGGAGTCTCTGAGGTGGTCGGGGCTGACAAACTTTAGTTTCATTTTCGTGCCAGGGCACATAGACCTGCAAGGAAATAAGCAAGTTGACAGGATCGCATGTAAGGCTACGGTGAAGGGCTGACAAGCATGGACGAGGCCGATAAACTGAATACTCTACAAGAAATAAGGAGTTCGCGACAACCAAATGATGACCGTGAATCTGCAACTATGACCAGACTGCAAGAACAGCAAATGAAAAGGAGTGTGGCCATACAAGATCACTGCACAGGAAGCCGAAGAAGAATAATAAACCGACATAGAATTGGTGTCGTCAGCCGCTACATGCTGCTGGATTTACTGAGAGGGGGGGGGGGGTGAACTGAGTACTTATGGACTGAAAGGTGTGATAGTTGTTGATTACTCTATATGTTGTTGACATTACCCTACATCTTCTGTATGTTGTTTACATTGCCTAACATCTTCTGTATGTTGTTTATATTGCCTAACATCTTCTGTATGTTGTTTACATTGCCTAACATCTTCTGTATGTTGTTTACATTGCCTAACATCTTCTGTATGGTGTTTACATTGCTTAACATCTTCTGTATGTTGTTTACATTGCCTAACATCTTCTGTATGTTGTTTATATTGCCTAACATCTTCTGTATGTTGTTTATATTGCCTAACATCTTCTGTATGTTGTTTACATTGCCTAACATCTTCTGTATGTTGTTTACATTGCCTAACATCTTCTGTATGTTGTTTACATTGCTTAACATCTTCTGTATGTTGTTTACATTGCCTAACATCTTCTGTATGTTGTTTACATTGCCCAACATCTTCTGTATGTTGTTTACATTGCCTAACATCTTCTGTATGTTGTTTACATTGCCTAACATCTTCTGTATGTTGTTTACATTACCTTACATCTTCTGTATGTTGTTTACATTGCCTAACATCTTCTGTATGTTGTTTACATTGCCTAACATCTTCTGTATGTTGTTTACATTGCCCAACATCTTCTGTATGTTGTTTACATTGCCTAACATCTTCTGTATATTGTTTACATTGCCTAACATCTTCTGTATGTTGTTTACATTGCCCAACATCTGGTGCTACCATTAGTTAGTTGCGTATCCTTTACAGGACGTTGCAGAACCAACCCTAACAGCCCCTGGCCGTTGTGTGGTTTTTCTAGACAATTTACATCCCGTAGTTTGCCATTGCTTACTGGCTTTCTTGATACAACTGTCGAAACCAACGCAAGGCGCATTGCCCGCAGCTGGGATCGAACCTGACATCCCGGCATTACGAAGCGAAGCGTTCGCATCGACTTAGCCACAGATGTGCTACCATTACGTTTATGCTTTTTACAGGAGTGGTTACTTGAACCCATCGTGAACCCTATTTGACTTATTCACTTCTCTGAGTCTCAAAGGCGGTGGCTCTAGAGTACACAAACTTGGTTAGCACATTTTGAAGTCAGAGTTGCCTTTTATTAAAAGGAATAATGGAGCCACATGCAGACTATTCAGGTTCAACGTTTACTTTATTTCAACGAACAGAAGCAGGAAGTGATGAAGAAGAAGAAGCGGAAGCAAAACAACCAAATGCATTGCGTTATTCTACATCCCGACATGTGGGATGCATTTTGTTTCTAAATTTGAAGCCCTACCCTGGCTTCTGCCGGGGCCCTGGATATAACCAGGGCTTAAATATGGTCTAACGGCTGAAAGGGGTTTCTGGGACCTCTCCAATGGTGATCCTCATCCGCATGGTGGCACTTTGTGTCACATGGGGTTTATTGCTCGTTATGCGGTCCTGGTGGGGTCGATTCCAATTCCTTTGAATAGAAATTTTTTAAAAAGTCAACCACGTTCAACATGCATCACTCAATTAAAAAAAAATCCTAAAGCGGAAGTACAAAATGCTACTTTCGATTTTAGATCTCGCGTGTTGTCGCGAGGCCAGCCATATTAGTCCGGGAGCCAGCAATAGGTAGACCCCTCTAGAGAGTATTGTCGAAGTGACAGAAGCTATAAATTGAAGACGACCGGATCGCTACAGCGGGTTGCTCCAACCCCAGACTCATGTTTTCTGTTCTTTGATTGTTTAATCCTTCACCATGAGCACCTCCAGTCAGGTGGTAAGTGCTGAGTTAGATGTATGTTTGGGGTGTAATGTTCAACCGGTGATGATTGTTGTGAAAATGTGCCGAAAGTAAAAGGTTGTCTGATAGTCTAGTCAGATAGTCCGCGATGATAGGTTGCAGATCGCACCTACAAGTGACAAAGGGCTGTGTGGATCATTGATTTTGATCGGATCGGTTCACTAACTTAATTATTTTTAGTATGGGAGCTTTGCTTGGGCATTTCTCGTTTATGGGAGATAGCTGACAGTTTATCCCCTTCTATCACTGAAACACACGTTTTTATAGCAATAACATTCATAAACATAAACTTTTAATCTACAAGTAGTACATTGTATATTATATGTAAAAGTAAAAGTAAAAACCTCAAAATACCAAAACAATGCATCATCAACCATCTGAAGGAAATTAAAAACGAATATTAATATAACAAAAATAGGGCTCTACTTTCAACGGCGCCCAAAATGGCGGCCGTAATATGATGCCCTTCGAAAGAGAGCCAAAATGGCCACATTCTGGCCATAAAATATAAAAAAAATATCCGAATGCGGCTCAGTTATATTAAAAATATATGTGCCGGCTCCGTATAACGAAACAAATGCTCTAACAGGGTCTCAGCGATATGTTACTTGCGGACCTGCTTTTGCGAGTGTGCCACACCGCCGACTATATCGACTATATCCGCGCGCTGCTACGCGCGGCGTGGATGGGGACTAAACTAGATGGCTGGTACTCACGAGTAGCAGCTACTGTATCTCTTGCAACTTCCTCCAGTTACTTTACTCGTGAGTCCCAGGCACCTAGTTTAGCCCCCCCCCCCCCCATCCGCGCCGGGGGATACGCTCGGCGATGAGTTTAATCGCGTTTGGCGCATGCCGACAAGTCTGACATCTACCGCTGCTAAATCCTCCCATCGGAAGAACACAGCATTGCTAATCGGCTTTCATCGTCTGTGATGTCTCAAAATGTGGTCAATGGTCGCTAATATCGTCTGCTAGTATCGTCGTCTGCAGAAACGCTTGAAATTGTCAACGGTCGGTATTTATCGTCTGCTACTACCGTGTGCAATGTTGATATTGATTGTCAAGAAATCCTAGTTTTGCCGCGATTTGTCCCTTGGCAGAAAGTCCGTATTTTAGATACGCATGAACACCGTTCGGATATTTTTGGATATTTTATGGCCAGAATGTGGCATCATATTACGGCCGCCATTTTAGGGCGCCGTTCAAAGTAGAGCCAAAAATAGTTTTAGTTAATTTCACATCATATAATAAAGATATTTTCCCAAGTGATGTTAGAGATCCAGATGTGAGTCCCAGCCATCCAGTTTAGCTTCACTCCACGCATAGCGGTGGGGGAGATAGTCTCAGCGGTGGCAGAAGCCCACAATTTACATGTGACTGAGGCCCTGTTAGGGTATATTTTCGGCTTTGATAATTTGGGACCGTTTTTCGGAAGATAGCCCAAACATGACCAACGTAAAAAATGTGAATTTTTTGATGGATGAAGCCTGATTGAGTTGTGTTGAGGAGTCAAGAAATGACATCACAGCACTTGGGGCATTCATATGCATGCTCCGTCCTAATCTTCAGTAGCCAGCACAGAGTTCCAGTACTAATGGTACCAGTGGTAATCTGTGTATATATCGGTCTTGCCTTTGTGTGTAGTGAGCTGGCCAGACCCTCTGGTTACACCCAGGTGCCTCATTCTCTCCAGGCCATAATAATCTTGTTTCTCTACTGACGCTGTTGCTTTTCCCCACAGGGTACTGACCACATCTGTTTTGTCATCTGTCTGTTCAATCCCCACCACTCAAACATGTGGCCCTGGAACCCACAAAGCAACCGGGAAGGCTACCCCGGTCAACAAATGCCCGCAGAAGTCGGATGTGTTAGCCGAAAGGTGCAAATATCGCAGCCATGCTGTAAACCGACACAATGCAATTACATGATGAACGCAGAAGAAGAACCCACAACGCAAGTCACTGGTAATGTGAAAAATGGATCAAAAAACACTCCTCCCCACGACGCTCAAACAATGGATTAAACTCAATCTGTTCCCCCTCCACAATGCTCCATGCATCAAAAACTATTCTTCCTCATGGCGCTTAGCTTAACGTCTAAACATTGCCATCCATTGAGCAATGGCAAAAGAGGAAACTGATGATGATGATGACCTAAATGTTTTTACTACATAACCTCTTGAGGCTCTCAGGGGATGTTTTTCGCAGTGAATAATTTGGGACTGGTATTCGGAAGAGTGCCAAACATTCATCATGTGCAAAAAAATGCATCATTTTTAAATGAAACAATACATTCTTTGAGTGCAGAAGAATGTTTTATTTTGCATTGAAACAAGACATTAATCAGATGTACATATGTGGATAATTTTTCGCTGAAAAATCTATCAGTTACAAAAGTGCATAAGTTTTAAAAACAAAAATCCATAGATTGTAAAAGAGTGGATCATTTTTCATTGAAACAAAACATTGTTCGATTGATCCATACAAATATAAATATACCTAGAATCAAATATGTGATCTGACATCGACATTGGAAGGGCCTGTTTCTTGTACCTGTTTGTATGCACATAGCAAATCTTGCTTTTGTAACTCTTTTACATTCTTTCTGAAAAAAATGTCTGCTTTCGTAAGTAAAAGAAGAAAAAAAATACTTCCGAATTATTTAAATACCTGGAAATTGTAGGGTGACTCATGTGAACAGCATAAGTGAAGTGATTACTTCTTGTGTATTCCTGCAGTGAAAATATGCGATATCTGAAAGATATGGGGGGAAAACAGGGGAGGATGTGACATCAACAGAATAAGACAAGCAGATGATACAGTGTTAATTTCATCCCTGTATGGGTTCTGGGACTCTATTATAGGGGGGGAAAACAAGAATAGACCCACTGCCTACCCAAAAGTATGTCGTAAGAGTCGACAAATTGGGAGCTTCTTCAAAGTCAGAGTGCATCTGCAAGGAGGCAAGGAACCAAAAGTCTGCATACAAATTAGTCATATCTGTCAAATGGATGCACACACAACACTCAGGTTCTGGAATAGGAGGACTGCAGTCCAGAAGTGGATGAACAACCAGAACTTTCCGCCCGGGTTTACAGCCGGTGAACACAAAGAGGAAGAAGAAGAAGTGCTAATTGCAGACAATGAAGAAGATCTACAGTGTTTATTGGATGCAGTTATAGTTGACAGTGAAAAACTAGGCTTGGAATTATATTTTAAGAAAAGCAAAAATTATGACCATCGACAAGAATAAATAGCCAGAGTGTGAAATACATGCAGGTGGCAATATTCATAAGCAACTTAATAGGTACAGCTTCCTAGGAACAATGATAAAATCTGATGCAAGATGCCTTGCAGAAATTAGAGCAACAATTGTGGCCTGTAGTCAGATGCAAAAGATTCTCACTAATGAGACAGTGTTGATGTGCTATGAAGAACCTATATTGTTATATGCGTGTGAAACATGGACAGTTAGTAAAACTGAAAAACATTTACTTGCAGGAGAGACGTGGTTTCTAAGAAGAATGCAAAGAATATCATGGAAGGATATAGAAACAAAAGGAAGCAGTTCCAACCGAGACAAAGTCGGAAACTTGTTAGAACAATTAAACATAGACAGTGTTTTGTTTGGATATGTTATGAGAAGAAATCGACTCAAGAATTTGGTAACAACTGGAAATATTGATGGAAAGGGAGCAAGATGAAGGCAGAGAGATAAGTACATGGATGGCCTAGCTAAATGGATGGATCTAGACAAAAACATTCTAGTGATCGTATGAGATGGCAAAACATGACAGTATGCTTACCGGCATGGTACGTGATGATAATGTTGCTACAATGTTCAGTCAAAATAGAAAATAATATAAAAAAAAACAGTTTGGGAATATGGAGAATATTTCTTTATAATTGTAATGGGGGATATTTTCACCCGGATTGGGGGGAAAGCCCCAAGCTAACAATAATACTGTGGGTTCCACGTGGCGACCTGTGGCCGTTTTCTTTGGGTTCAAGCCAAGCCAAGTTGTGTGAAGCTTGATGCAATGACCAGACCCATCTATGCGGCCATGTGGAATGAAGACGCCAAAACTCTGGTTGATGAATGTATGAGAAGTCAGCATGTTAGCGTCTGAACAATGTGTTGCGTGAAAGCTGTTGTAATATATGTAAGTGATGAGATGTCAATAAACTGTATCATACTTTGAAGTCGGTGCCGGCTTGTCACAGTTATGTCATCTTAAGTCGGTGCCGGCTTGTCACAGTTATGTCATCTTAAGTCGGTGCCGGCTTGTCACAGTTATGTCATCTTAAGTCGGTGCCGGCTTGTCACAGTTGTGTCATCTTAAGAATGTGAGTCATATCGTCCACTAGACACAAATCAACCCCTAGAAGACGAGCAGTGCAATTGCAAGCACAGCTTTTTGCAAGTAGAACACGGCTCATTGAAATAATGTGGATTACTTTAAAAAAAAGGGGGGGGGGGCAGAGATTGACCAGCATGAAGATGAGCACAGAGTGTGGGGTGAGGTTGGGGAGCTGGCAAGAGTCAAAGTTTCAGTTGTGAAGAGAGTGCCGTTCTGTAAAGGACCTGCTGCATGATGATGATGATGGATTAGTTTTATTTACTTGCTTGTTGGGGAGGCAGGGGTTCTGTTCTTGTTTGCCCTAGAACCCATACAGGGACTGGATGTCCAGTGAATGTATATTGTTGTTCTTCCGCAGACCAAGTTGTACCGCACAGTTGTCGATGACGTGACCAACAATGTCAAGGAGGCTTTTCTCGATGAAGGTGTTGATGAGCAGATCCTACAGGAGTTGAAACAGGTACGGCTGCTCAAGTCGGCATCATATGTTTTTGTGTGTATGTGTGTGTGAATATGTCAAATTGATGGGAGGATGTACATATGTATACACCCACTAACCTTTTTTTTTGCTTGACTTTCTATGCTCCTACTTATACGGTCTGGCTATCGTTACACCTGCTTTGGCCTACCTACATTATCTCCAGATGTGTGTAACTACCTGCTTACACCATCTGTCTCTTTACACACCTACCTATACTGCTATTACCAGCATTCTGGTTGATAGGCAGGTTTACTGTTTCTAGTTGAGATGAGTTCTTGCTTCTGACAATAGTTAGCTGCTGCATTTTCCTGCATGTGTAAACTGAAAGGATAATAGTTCCATCACCCGGCTACTGAGTTGAGTGCATGGTACAACACTGTGAGCTGCAAATTTAATTAGGAATGTATTTTGATTGTGCCCAATGTGGTTTATGTTGTGAACTGCAGACTGAGAAAATGGCGAGTGACCTGTTGCCAGAGGACTGGTGGTGTCTTATGCGATTAATTACATGTGCAACTACTGAACTATATGCAGCTGACCAGAAAGGGACCTTTGCTATGTCTCTACCCTCATGGTTTTAAAAATAAAATAAAATTGTAACGTTCAACCAGCAATCCTGAAGGGGGAGCTTTTGGTTATAATTGAGACTAGGTTATGTGCGCCATATAAATTTGGCTTAGCATTGCATGCCACCAAGAGCCCAGAAAAGGACTCCTTCAGTGTTGATGCCATCAAAGGAGACAGACCCAAATACTGTCCCGACCGGCGACAAAGTCGTCTACGGACCAACCGATGGGTGTCCCTGTTGTCGGTGTTGACATCTCTACACTGTTTATATAGCTGTCTGTTAACTGTTTTCCCTCACCTTGATGAAAATATCTGTGTCTCTTTCCATTCTGTATTTTTTTAAATATAATTTCTATTCCAGCTTAGTTTTCCTGCATGGGTTCCGCAGTCTTTTTTGGGGGAGAAAAATATTAGACCCCCCCACAAGCATGTTGTGGGAAGTCACTAACTTAAATCATTTCATTCAAAATCAGAGTGCATCTGCCTGAGATTTGAAGAACCAACGGTTTGCATAGAAATAAGCCAGATGTGTATTACGGGTGCATATGTAAAACTCAGATCCTAGAGCAAAGCCATTGTGCTTAAAATGACACCAGAAAGAAAAATACCAAGACTTTCGGCCGGAGTTTACAGCCAGGAAACACAAACTTCTGCTATCATCTGTTACTACTCATCCAAGTTAGGAGACACTTGTTGATTTTCTCATTAACCTTTCCCAGTCACTCTTGACTAGAGATATGTTACTCATTTATCCTCACATCCAGTCAAACTTGACTAGAAATAATTACTAATTCATCATCATATCCAATCAGTTTTGACTAGAAATGTGACAGTTATTGATCCTTGTACCTGCATGTTGTATATTTGTTTATCTACTTATTAGCTGTGGGAGACCAAGCTAGCAGCCTCCAAAGCTCTAGAGCCACCCGCGCCAACAGACCATGACATCATCGTCACGCCCCAGAATGTGTCTGTCATGTTGCCGCAGCCAATCCAAACCAAAACACAAGAACAAGGTTTGCACGCCATAACTGTTTTGTCTGTTTGTGTGACTGGAAAAGTAAAAGCAGAAGGCGTGGTACCAAGAAGGAGTGACAGGGAATGACCGAAACGAAGATGGGCACAGGATATAAGTGACTCCTTGAAAATGAAAGTACATGAGGTGGGAGAACTGGCGAGAGTTTCTTTCAGGCAGACTGTGATGAGAGCGACGTTCTACAATGGACATGATGTGTGTGTATTTATGTTCATGAGTGTGTGTGTAGGCACATGCATAATGTATTGATGTGTAAGTGTAAAAAAAAAAAAAAGGTAATTCCATGGTAGATGTGCCATTTGGGTTTAAGGCTTTAGCCCTTCAAATATTTTAGGCCATATAGTGTATTGGGGGGGGGGGGGAAGAGCCGCATTCCTGTTTTATTGGCTATGTTGTGCAGGGGCTGAGGCGACCACTTAATCATGTTTATGTGCATGTTTATATAGATGTTTGTGGCTGTCTGGACTAGTGAGTCCTTACTTGTATTTCAAAATGGATGAACACCTGTTAAAGCAGGCAAAGGATTTTACATATCTGGGAAGCATTTTTTGTTTGTTAGACGGCAGAAGAATTAATAAAGAAAAACAACAAATATGCAATAAATCCAATAAACTTTGGGGCCAAATGGCACAATTTTTAAATGCAGCTTGTGAATATGAACACTGAAAGAACACACACAATATTCTTACAAACGCTGTGCTATCAATGAAATGTTTACATACTGTTCTAGGTGTAATGAGGAACGATCAACTAAGGAACAATGATATCAGGAGAAGAGTCAGCACAATACTTTATAGGTAGACAACAAATCAAATTGGCATCAGACAGGCACCACAGAGAGCACTGTTATACAGATACAGCGGTAACAGACCAGAGGTACCATTCAGAATATGGACTGCAGCAAACAGAAGGGCCCGTTCCAGAGATCTCTTCCTGTCCTGACACTGCGAGGCATTCCAGGAGTAGAGAAAATAAGAGTTGAGTCAAGAATTTACATCACAGCACTCAAGGCATTCCCATGCTTGCTCCGTCCTCATCTTTAGCAGCCAGCGCAGAGTTCCAATAATGATGATACCGTTCACAATCTGGTTATATGTTGGTCTTGCCTTTCCTCTGAGTGTAGTGAGCTGGCCAGACCCTCTGGTTACACCCAGGTGCCTCATTCTCTCCAGGCCATAATAATCTTGTTTCTCTACTAATTCCATTGCTTGTTCCTAAAGGGCCTTGACCACATCTGCCTTGTCATGTATAGAGAGAGAAAAAAAGAAAAAGACACTTGTATTAGTGCAAAAGCATTTAAAAAAAACATTTGTACACAAAAAGTTGTCAAGATTTTCTCAGGTAATGCCACAAGTTCTTGTCTCTCTAGCTCGCCTCCTGGAATTTGTCTCATATTCTGGGGTAAAAGAAAGAAATTGGCGAGCATGAACAACTCTGTAGGCATTCACACTATTAACCTAAGGTGCCACCGGACTAGATTCAAATTCTTCTTCCTCGTGTTCACCAGCTGTGAACTGTGGCGGAAAGTTGTTGTGTAACCGCAGTGTTTTTGTGCATATCTGGCTTAGTTGTATGCAGACTGTTGGTTCGTTGCCTCTCAGGAAGATGCACTACAACTTAAAGAAAACGTCCCTAATTAGTTGATTCTTAAGACAGGCTTGTTAGAGACAGGGGGTCTATTCTTGATTTCTTCTTATATTGGGGCCATGGAACCCACACAGGGAGATTTCAATAAATAAACCGATTATTGTTGAATGTTGGTGGGATTAATACATTATCTTCATTGTGTGCTCTGTAGGAATCCTTGGACAGTCTAGCCAACACCAGGGAGGCACACAATACCAGGTATCTCATGTTGTATCTGTGTTTGTAGGTGAATTATTGTCTTTTAACAGTGACTGAATCTCAAGTACTTCATGTTGTGTCTTTGTGTGTAGGAGTAGGTGAATTGTTGCTTTCCTTTCTTCTGCTTATTTTGTTTCTCTTCAAGTTACTCCATGTATCTCCTGAGGAGGAGGTTACATAGGATCGTCTGAATGGTCTGCCTGATGCAGTGTATAAGTTGATCTTTATTTGAGAACTTGGTGTTTCCTTATGTGGGTTCCAAGTTCCAAGGCATGGGGAGGTGCAGTTTGCAGTCCACTGCTTGATTGGTAGGCACTGGCTGTTTTCATAACCCATTTCTGTTTCCAGTTCTGTTTTCGTGTGTTTTTAATTGGATCTCTGTTTAAATTGTCTTGTCCATTCTGTCACCAGATGTTCTCATGTGTCTTCTTCACTTCCAGCATCTGTTCCTCATCTTCCTTCCTTCCCTTCCTAGCATTCACCAGCTGTAAACTTCTGTGGACAGTTCTGGGTGTTCGTTGCCATCTGAATTTTGGTCTTGTTCCAGAACTTGAGTTTCGCATGTACATTCTTTTTCCAGATCTGGCTTATTTGTGTGCAGACTGCTGGTTCCTCTCCTCAGGCAGATGCAGAAACACCTTAATTAGTTTCCTTTTATGAGATTCATGTTACTGGGTCAGTAGGCCTGTTTCTTTTTTTGACTCCTAAAATGGGTCATTAAAACCCACAGGGGTACCTCGTCTTCCGGCCTCAAGAATTTGTTTAGTTCTCTTTCAGATCTGCACATAAGTGATTATATCATATCATTTAACCTCTTCTATTTTAAACAGGCATCGGAAAATCAGTTTTTATTACATAATTTTGACCATACACACACTCAAAATGTTTAAAAAATTATTTTTATTTTAAAAGACTTATTTATAGCTGGATAGATTTTGCTTTTATTAAAACTCTACAGCATAGAGTGGGTAGGTTTACATTTAGGTGGGTAGGTAGTTGTACCCCACCAGGACATCACACAAGTGATAAACACCCGGTGACACACAAAGTGCCACTATGCACATGAGGATCGGCCGGAGAGGTCCCAGAAACCCCTTTCAACCATTAGGCCGTATTTATGGCCCCAGCTATATTCAGGACTCCCGGCAGAAGCCAGGGTGGGGCTTCCAATAAAAAATGTGGATCCCACATGGAGACAGCTCTTACAATTTACATGTAGAATAAGTTAAGAAAACTTTATAAAATGGGTGGCAGTGGAATGGTGAACATTAAATAATAGAGTAACATGTAAGCCACAACTATTCAACTAACTTTAATCAGTGGCCAACATTTTAAAAATGGAGATCATCACGGGTCAGAGGCGGGAGCTCCAACATTGATAGATCACTAATGCAACTAGCAGTGATATGCGTCCATGGTTCAGATTTGTCCAGCATACCGCCAGTTCAATAGCTCAGATGTAGGCTATAGATACTGTCAATGTTTTCTGTTTTGTTTGATTTCAGATGTCTCAAGCTGCAGCGACAGCCTCCATGGCGCTCCCAGCTGGTTTGTTTCAGCAACAGTTGGCAGCATTGTCTTCCAACGGCCAGCTACAGAACATCACCGTCCAACAGACAGGTATATTGGCTTCTCCTGTTGTTGTGTCTGGAGGAGACATAGTAGACCTTGTTTTCTTTCAGACAACATTCACAGCTCGGCAGTGGTCCAAGGCTTTGATTGCTAGCACACATTATTTGCCAGTCTGGTGATTCTGAGTTCAGATCTTTTAGACGTAATTTTGCTTGAGTTCTGGCGGCTTCATTGTCAGTCAAGAATCTTAATAGCAGACGTGAGAGTGTTTGACTGGGGAGGTGACTGGCTTGTACTAACTACATCACCCAGTGTGTGTCATTTTTCTCAGTCAGTGAAATGAGGGCTGTAACAAAAGCTGTGATGTGGCTAAAGACACATCATTTTTTCCATGCATGCTTCCTGAGTGATTCCATGAGCATGTTTAGGAAGATATAGGCAGGAAGAAAATGGTAGCTAAGGAAATCTCATCAGATAGGAACTAGTTTTATTTTTGTGCCAGGACATTTGAAGAGAATGAACGAGCAGATTGGCTTGCTGGCAGGGCCACGGTACAGGAAAAGCAACTGACCAGGCCGACATTTCTCAGTGCCGCATGGAGGCAGAATGAGCGAGCAGATTGGCTTGCTGGCAGGGCCACGGTACAGGAAAAGCAACTGACCAGGCCGACGTTTCTCAGTGCCGCATGGAGGCAGGACGAGAAGATGATTTAGGAGACAACGTTCCGTCGGCAACACCTGAAGGACTTTAAGGACTTCAGGTCAAAAGAGGTCTAGCCAAACATGAACACAATACAGGTAGCCAAAGAAGAATACTAAACCAACACAGAACTGTGGCCATGCACTGGGGGATATACCGATAATGGGATCTGAGCGCTTATGGGATTGTCCAATGTGCAGTGAGGATAATCTGTCGTTTCTTCTTCGAGTTCACCGGCTTTGAACTCCGCCGGAAAGTTCTGATTGTTCATCCACTTCTGCTGATTGTTCATCCACTTCTGGACTGCAGTTCTGTTCCAGAACCTGAGTGTTGCGTGTGCATCCATATTACAGATCTGGCTCATTTGTATGCAGACTGCTGGTTCCTTGCCTCTCTGGCAGATGCGCTCCGGCTTCGAAGGAAGCCCCCAATATGTCGACTCTTACGAAACGCTTTTGGGTAGGCAGTGGGTCTATTCATATTTTCCCTATAATAGGGCCCCGAAACCCACACTGCGGAATCTGTCGATTAACTAATTAAGTACAAACACTTATCTGCAGTAGACCTTAAAAAGGTGGTTTGCACATTCTGATGTGGTTTACAGCAAGTATCTGCACCTTTTGGTGCAACGAGTCTGATTTCATCAAACCCGTAATTAGTTACCTAGAGAGCAGCAGGTCAGCCTCTCGTACAAGGAGCATGTAGATGAAATATTCACCGATATTTTCTCTGGCCTTCTTTGGTCTGTACCTGTAGCTAACTAACACGGTTCATAATTCCAAAATACCTGATTCAATTCCCTTGTTTAGCTGCAGCTGCTGTGTGTGGATTTCGACATTGGTATGAAGTGTCAGCCCTTCGGTAAGCAGTAGCAAACATATTTCATGAAACAAAAACAGTACGGTGCAGAGGTTCTGTAAGGACTACATATGAAATGGGAATTACTTAAAGTAATAAATTAAAAAAAGAGACAACTGAAATACTTTGGCTGCGTTAGAAGACATTACATGCTTTTAAAATCCATACTGGAGGGAAAGGCAAATGGCAAGAGAGCAAGAGGTGGACAACGATACAAGTGGGAGGACATCATCAAGAGATAGACAGGCATCAGTCTGAGAGAGGGTACAACCAGGACAAGAGACAGAGTGTATTGGAAAACCACTGCAGTCAACCTTCACTGTGGAGACGGCACGTGGTTGATTGATTTAGCAAACTGTTGAATGTAAAATTGTCTGGTCAAACCACAAACAACAAACAAATGTTTGGTTTTAACATTGTATAAAGGCCATGCAGCTAACCTGGTTTTAACATTGTATAAAGGCCATGCAGCTAACCTGGTTTTAACATTGCATAAAGGCCATGCAACTAACCTGGTTTTAACATTGTATAAAGGCCATGCAACTAACCTGGTTTTAACATTGTATAAAGGCCATGCAACTAACCTGGTTTTAACATTGCATAAAGGCCATGCAGCTAACCTGGCTTTAACATTGTATAAAGGCCATGCAACTAACCTTTGAACTGGTCACCTTCATGATTTCTTTTTTCTGTTCACCACCTGTAAACTCTGAATGGAAAGTTCTGGGTTTTAATTTTGTTGCAGAGTTTTGCATGCACATCATCCCCACTGTGGGTTCTGAGGCCCCATTGTGGGGAAAACAAGAATAGACCCACTGCCTCCCCAACAGGCATGTCGTGGTAGCACCCTTCAAAGTTGGAGTGGGATCTGCCTGAGAGGCAAGGAATCGAAAGTACATATAGAAAAAAAAAAGTCAGACCTGTGAAATGTGCACGCAACACTCCGTGTCTAGAACAAGACCAAAGCCTGGAAGTGGATGAACAACCAGAACTTTCAGCCAGAGTTTACAACCAGTCGCTTGTCTCTCAAACACACGCACTCCGACTTCATGGGCATCGCCGCTTCTAATTGTTAATTATTCAACTTGTATGGCATGCTGTTAGTGGGCTTATCCCCCCCCCCTCCCTTTCCATAAAGGGCTGCTAGAACCCACGCGGAAACAGCACAATTTAAAGATGGTTTTATACTTGCAGGGAACGGCCAATACATCACTTTATCGGGTATCCCCTCCCAGCAGCTGTCTCATCTCCAGCAACATCAGCTGCAGCAGCCGCAGCTGGCCCAGAACTTAGCCTCACACATCTTACAGCCGCAGCAGATACACCTGGCCCAACAGCCCATCCGGTTGCAGCAACAGCCTATCAGGTTGCAGCAGCAGCAGCAACAGCAGCCTAAGTTAATACAGGCCAGCCAGCTTCTTCAGCAACAGGGTCAGGTTACTCTAACATCCCAACCTAAACCACAAGGGGTAAGTTAGCCAACCTTAGCCAGCTCATTGTTTCTCTTTTGATTTTTTGTTGTTGTTAACCTCTAAAGTCAACTAAGGTCTTAGTTTGAACAGCTAAAAATAGAGGTTATGGTAGTGAAAGTAAAGGTGTCCCTTGATATGCTTGTGATTCCAGATTCATATGTTTATACAATCGGCCCTCCGTCGGAGATGTGGTCGACATCGAGCCAGCCACCTTTACTTCCCAGGACATGACCTGGTGCCCGTCCCAGGCTGAGTCGACCCTGGGAAAGTAAAGATAATTAACACCCAGAAAAATATTCCAGGCAACATCAAAGTAATTGGGACGAGTTTGAAGCAGGCTGATATAATGAAATACTTAGGTATCCCGATGGCAGCAGATGGAAGATGTATGAACTCTGATCCAGAGAAACATCTGATCTTGCATTGCTGTCTGTAAGAAATCATGGAAATTTGGCTAAACCAGGATTGCTACATTGAAAAGTCTCTGATAAGCTTTGTTAACAACAGTTGTTCTTATTTGCACCTGCGCTGTATTTAGATGGGCCAGATGTGATAATATTGACTAAACACAGCATTTGGAGGTGTTATATTGTGAAAGATTTAGCTTTGTACATTATTTATAAGGGACAAGCAATGTTATTTAATTCTTCACTCTCTTAGTGTTTATTGATAACTTCCCTAGGGCTTCTTAATATGTTTTTTTTTTTTTTAGATGTTTATAAATAAATTATTTTAAAAAAAACTATGCAAGGGCTAACCTGGGCAACAAATGCTACCAAAATATCTTGTGTTTGGCTGAAAGATGCAGATATCATCGCTGCCATGTTGTAACCTGGCACAGTGTATCGGAAGAAAACAGAAGATTTGTAACAAATTTATTAATGACCTTTATTTGACTAGGTATGTTTTTTTAGGGACTTAATGGATTCTGGGCCTTTTTTCCCAAAGGGTTTCTGGGCAAACTAGTCAAAGACGTAAATTGATTAGTCTGAGGCAGTGGTTGCCAGGTAGTGAGGACCAACTACAGACTCCATTTAAAAAAAAATTGTCACACGGAACTCATTAAAATTTATAAATAGTAGAATCACAAAATGTGGCGCATTTTCCATTTGAGGGTTAATTTTTAATATTCTTCTTCTTCTGCCTTTCTACCCCCCAATGGAGCATAGGCCCTCAACCAACTCAAGCCAAGTTGTTCTATCCTTCGCCATTGCATGGAGCTCTCCCCATGTCTTCCCCATCTTTCTAACTTCATTCTTCAGCTCTCTTCTCCATGTGTTTTTTGGTCTTCCTTTATTCCTATGCCCCTGTGGGTTGAAATGCAAGGACAAAATTTTTAATATAACAGTCCTTTAAATGTGTTCCATGGACCACGTGGAAGGAAGCCCATAGACCACGTGGAAGCCCACGGACCACGAAATTGGAAACACGTGGTCTAGTCTGTGAATGAGCTAGTTATTTATTACTTGTCTGGATATAAATGTGGAAGAGAACCGATTACCTCATATCTACATTTTGCTTGTTTTCTTTGCAGGGTGTACACCATAATCTCATCCAGATTGACGGCCTGGCCGACACCAGCTCATCAGACGACGACGATTTTGATGATGATGACAGAGATGAGGATGAAAAAGAGGAAGAGAATGATGAGGAGGAGCAGGGTGAAGAGGAGGTAATTGTTGTATGCTAGACAGAATCGATGTTTGTGAGGTAATTGTTGTATGCTAGAAAGAATGGATGTTTGTGAGGTAATTGTTGTATGCTAGACAGAATCGATGTTTGTGAGGTAATTGTTGTATGCTAGACAGAATCGATGTTTGTGAGGTAATTGTTGTATGCTAGACAGAATTGATGTTTGTGAGGTAATTGTTGTATGCTAGACAGAATCGATGTTTGTGAGGTAATTGTTGTATGCTAGACAGAATGGATGTTTGTGAGGTAATTGTTGTTTGCTAGACAGAATGGATGTTTGTGAGGTAATTGTTGTATGCTAGACAGAATGGATGTTTGTGAGGTAATTGTTGTATGCTAGACAGAATGGATGTTTGTGAGGTAATTGTTGTATGCTAGATTGATGTTTGTGAGGTAATTGTTGTATGCTAGATTGATGTTTGTGAGGTAATTGTTGTATGCTAGACAGAATGGATGTTTGTGAGGTAATTGTTGTATGCTAGACAGAATTGATGTTTGTGAGGTAATTGTTGTATGCTAGACAGAATGGATGTTTGTGAGGTAATTGTTGTATGCTAGACAGAATGGATGTTTGTGAGGTAATTGTTGTATGCTAGACAGAATGGATGTTTGTGGGGTAATTGTTGTATGCTAGACAGAATTGATGTTTGTGTGGTAAAACAGATTTTTGTACATCTGTGTTCAGTTTAACAATCCTAAAGGTTGATAATCTTTCCCATTGGGGGGGAGGGGGGGATCCACTGCTTCCCTAACAAACCTGTTCTAAAAGTAGACTGATTAGGAGTGTTCCTTTCAAAGTCGGAGTGCATCTGCCTAAGGAGCAAGCAACTAACAGTCTGCATGTAAACAGGCATAATCTGTGAAACGGGTGTGTATGCATAACTCAAGTTCTGTGACAAGACTGAGTCTAGAAGTGGACGAAAAACTGGAACTTACTGCTGGAGTTTACAGCTGATGTGCGCTAGAATGAAGAATGTATAGTAAACAACAAACAGACCGTGTATTGATCAGCACTCATAGAAGGAAGAAGATTCTTTTTCTTCATCCTTGTCAGAGTCTCCGTCTGAAGTAACTTTACTTTCAAGTTATATAATTTCTTCTATACAGTCGTTATATGCAATTGTTATGTTGCAGGATCCCTTAAATTCAGATGATGATGTCAGTGAAGAAGATCCCTCAGAGCTGTTTGATACCGAAAATGTGGTTGTGTGTCAGTATGACAAGGTAAGTCTGTCTAGTGTCTGTCTGTCTTTAGTACTGTCAGTATGACAAGGTAAGTCTGTCAAGTGTCTGCCTTTAGTACTGTCAGTGTGGCAGGGTAAGTCTATCTAGTGTCTGCCTTTAGTACTGTCAGTATGGCAGGGTAATTCTGCTTGATGTCTGCCTTTAGTGCTGTCATTTTGGCAAAGCAATTATGTCTGGATTCTGCCTTTAGTACTGTCAATATGGCAGGGTAATTCTGTGTGGTGTCTGTCTTTAACACTGTCATTATGGCAAAGTATTTCTGTCTGGTTTCTATCTTTAGTACTGTCAGTATGGCAGGGTAATTTTGTCAGGTCTTATTTCCCTCTACATCCTAGGGTAGAAGTACAAGACTACAAGGTCGTATTTCCCTCTACATCTGAGGGTAGAAGTACAAGACTACAAGGTCTTATTTCCCTCTACATCCTAGGGTACAAGTACAAGACTACAAGGTCTTATTTCCCTCTACATCCTAGGGTAGAAGTACAAGACTACAAGGTCTTATTTCCCTCTACATCCTAGGGTAGAAGTACAAGACTACAAGGTCTTTTTCCCTCTACATCCTAGGGTACAAGTACAAGACTACAAGGTCTTATTTCCCTCTACATCCTAGGGTAGAAGTACAAGACTACAAGGTCTTATTTCCCTGAACAACCTAGGGTGTAGAAGTAGAAAATGTGTATGCAATAAAACAAAATAAAGTGTCAGCTGTTACGAATGACAATTTCTGCTCTACAGATAAACAGAAACAAAAACAAGTGGAAGTTTCATTTGAAAGATGGCATCATGAACCTCAACGGACGAGACTATGTTTTCCAGAAAGCAACCGGAGATGCCGAGTGGTAACGGTCAAAGGTCACCCGGCTAGTGTGAATATTCAGTTATGGTTTGGGTTTGAGTTATTGCGAATGTGAGCTGAATCGTGCATGTGATATGAATTGTTTGTGAAGAGTAAGCTGCCTTACACTGTGAGTGAAAACAGTTGCAGACGTGTGAGAGCAGTGCCTCCTCATTCAGGGGCGAAAAGAAGTTGTCTGTAATATCTGATTGCTTGTGAGTTTCCCTTGAGTTTCAAGTTATCAGGCTATTGACTCCATGATAACACTGTTAACTGTCTACAGGGTGTCCCATAAATTTTCATACATTGGAAAAAGAAATTTGTGTTTTTAAGGAAAACCTTTATTATTTATATAATATACTCTGCAGGACTGCCATTGTCTTGAAAACACATTTTGATGTGTGTTTTTAGGGTGGAACAACTCGTAGAAGCACAGTTAGTGTTATGCTTGTTGGTGATATATTTATTTCTCTTATGTATAGAAACTTATGGGATACCCCGAATTGACATCATAAAATTGATTGCAATTTTCTGTGGAAAGTGTATGTGATGTATGATGTAAATACATTGAATATTTTGTGAATTATTTGCTATAGAATTTGTGTGGGTGTGTTGTTATAAGTTTGTGAACAGGATATCCAGCCTGTTAGGTTATATATCATCATCATCACCATTTGCCACTCAGTGGCCTGGTGTTGTTGATCATATCAGTCTGATATTTCCTTGTGTTGGTTCTGGGGCCCTGATTGTAAAGAAAAAAAAAAGGGGGGGGGGGGTTAAACCCAAGGCCCATTTACAATGTTTTGAAATGGTATTTATTAGGGATTTGATTAAATGAGATGTATTGTGCTGAAAGGTGCAGATATTTCAGCCTGGTTGTAAAACACAACGCAGCATGCCGACCATCCTTTCATGTGTGACCCACATTGGGACCATCAGTGTTTGAACTGGTACTTGTTTGCTGAAAATATGGACAGAACAATAAAGAGAGTGCCCCAAGTACCTCAGCTGTAGCAGCGGAGACACTGTAGTAAAGAATTGCCATTTATTGATTGACACTCTCTAGATTAGGGCTGTTGAGCTGGCAACCTGTGGGCCAGATTCGGCCTGCAGAGGCCTAGCAGGTGACCCCCATGGCCAGTTATACTATATTGATGATCTTTCTGTGCTGGGAGTTTAAGCCCTGATGATCCCCTTTTTTTCAAAATTTGGCTCCTGGGTAAACTTTAGTTAAATAGCCCTGCCCAAGATGTGGCGAACCAGTCACCTCCAAATGATGACGTCGCGGCACGATGCTTTCTGTGTCCAGCGAGACACTTTGGTTGGCTAAATGTTGAAATACACGCCATTTGAATGCGACTGGCTCTGCTTCTAGTATGGTAACTAGCTTTTGTGTTGTCTGTTGTCGCATCCTATCCACTTTTTGCTCTACATCTGTGAGTGCCAGTCAGTACAGTTTATTTATCAACCTGTGTCAGTGGTCTCAAGTGCTCCGCAATTATTCTTCATCTTCTTCTTTACTTCTTCTTCACTTCTCCTTTCACAGTTAAGGGTGTCGAGGGAGATGTAAAGTTCTTCTTCTTCTTCACTTCTCCTTTCACAGTTAAGGGTGTCGAGGGAGATGTAAAGTTCTGCTTCTTCTTCACTTCTCCTTTCACAGTTAAGGGTGTCGAGGGAGATGTAAAGTTCTGCTTCTTCTTGACTTCTCCTTTCACAGTTAAGGGTGTCAAGGGAGATGTAAAGTTCTTCTTCTTGACTTCTCCTTTCACAGTTAAGGGTGTCGAGGGAGATGTAAAGTTCTGCTTCTTGCTCACCTGGCTAGCTTGACCATAGACAGGTCGTTTTCTTTCCAACTTGGTCTACCTTATGCTCTAGTCCTTCTCATGTTTTGGTGTATGCCAGGTATTTATCTTTGACAGAGTCTCAGTGGGAAGTTGCTGTGAATGATTGATGTTGAACTAGAAGAGAGGGTGAAAAACCTGTTGTAGGATTGTTTGTGTGTGTGTCCGTGATTATATGAATCACTGGGCTGCAGTATGCAGAACGTTGCACATCATACATCTCATGGATTTGTTAATAATAACCAACACCTATTTTCTGGTACTTTTTATATGCTGTTTGTGAAATGCTTTTTTTACTTTATGTTGTGTCTCTGTGAGAGTATGTTATTCCCAGGCAGGGAGACGAAACTTCTTTTCGTTTTCTTTAGGGGTGTTTTTCAAAAGTGAAACGACACTATATAACAAGTGATGCCTGTTTAGTTTGGTCTGGATTTTTTGGGGGAACTTAAACTGGTAGGAACAAGGGAACTTAGACTGGTAGGAACAAGTGAGCTTATACTGGTAGGAACAAGGGAACTAAGACTGATTGGAAGAAGGGAACTCTTTGTGTGCCCAGAAAGTTGCCTAAGGAGAGTAAAAGAAATGGGGGAGATTAGAAGAGAGGGGTGGTAGATTTTATATGCAACACATAGTCCATGAATTCCGGGTAGATTCTGGGGCCCCATGATGTGGGGGGGAGGGGGCAGGAAGATCGGATCCACTGTCCCCTAACAAGCATGTCATAAAAGGCAACTAATTAAGTGTTTGCGGTAGTCAGCCCAAAAGGCACAGCACATATTGCAGCAGACTAGCTGTAAACCACAATACACTGCATGCCAGCCTTTTTAGGAGCAAACACAGAAGTCGCCGGGACCAGAGATTGATGTTCTTGCCTCTGAGGCAGATGCACTACAGCTGTGAAGGAAACACCCCTGATTAGTTGACTTTTATGACGTGCAGTGAGTCTTAAGTTAGGGAACGGGGTGTTAAAACATCTGACGGTGTATTGACAGCGTAGCCAACTACATGCCTATTGTGTTGAAAATATGTCAGGCGTCATTTAGCCAGTACACATAAAGGCTGCAAATAGGGTCATTTAATTTATTACTAGTATATACTCCTCATTCTCCTTTGCCTCTGTGTGTTCCAATGAAAGACATGTTTACGTATACTTGAGTTGTATGCTCCTGACAGTTACCTGTTGTCAGGCCAATTGGGTGCCTGCATGACAGCGCAGGACATTAGTGTTAACATTGTTTTTATTATTATTTGATGTTGACATATTTTTGTGCATATTAAACAAGATGGTTTATGCCTGTGAGTTTTTTTTTATTTTTTATTGCTCTTGTCTGTAAACGCACAATAACTGACATTCTGTATATGTAACAGTCAAAAATGATGTCAAGAAGCCTAAACCCTATGTAGGAGAAGCACTTTACAAACAAGGACACAAGAAGACCACCAAAATAACATCAGACCCCACCATTATTTCCTTCAGTACCTGCCCAAAGAAGGCAACCGCCAGTCCTTCTTAGGATAGGCAATCCCCCTCTCCTCGGAAACAGCAAACAGCCAATGAAATCCACACAAAATCGACTCAACAGCCAATGATCCGGAGTGCAGCAGAAGGCCAGCCAGTTACGAAAGCAGACAATCGAGCGGAAAACCACAACAAATAACAAGCGACAAACACTGAAAGCACAATCCAAGACCAGATGAGACGAAGACCAGAAACGTCACCACAAATATAGCAGACAGGAAAGAGAGCAGCAATGCAATCTGATCTAGCTGAAAGTGGTAAACGTTAAAAGATAGATAGATGTCAAGAAGACACATCAGCGCCAGTTTTAGACCATATTAAAGAGCTGAATAACCTGTTCACTAGTAAACAACACATTGTCCCAGAAACAGAAATATTTGTTGCCCTATCAAGCACGGCGGATTGGAATAAATTATAGCAGAAGGCATGTACCAGGAAAGAGGGGCATGGGTTGACGTGTGTGACAATTGAGTGCAGGATATGTAAGTGCACGAGGCAGAAAACTGGGGAGAGGCTGAGGTTCTTGCAGGGCGGTAGACTACGATGGGAACGACCTTTGGCATTTGACCTGCTGCATAGTAGTCTCCAGCAGTTGATTGGCTTTATATTGTTAGACATATTTCATGTTCTTTTTCCCCCTTCCTTATTCGCCCTGCTTCGTAATGCCGTGTTCAATTCCAGCTGCGGGCCATGTGCCTTGCCTTGGTTTTGACAGTGGTATCATGGAAGTCGACCGTCCAGAAAGCAATGGCAAACTACTGGACGTAAATTTGCCTAGAAAAACCATGCAACAGCCAGGGGCTGTTGGAGTTGGTTCTGCGCGTCCTGTAAAGGATACGCAACTAACCTATTCGCCATAGGGTTATCTCCCAGTCCTTATTAAAAAAGAAAATAGGTGCTTTTGAATTGAAAGGCTTAAGATTCGTAGGATATGAAGAAAGAGGAGGAGAGTCAGTGACATTTTAAAAGATCTGATCATCAAGGAAGATTGGCTAATAGACAGGATTATGTCGCAGAAACTGAAATATTTTGGTGATATCAATCGCTATCTCGGATTTGAACAAGTAACAGAGGGCACGGTACCAGGAAAGTGGGGCGCAAGGTATGTGGCTCCTTGAATATGACAGGTTTAGGTTTAAACAACGAATCAACATGGCACAATGGTGTAAACCCATAAGTGCTCGCTCCATTCTACTTCTAACTCAAGCCCGAGTCTGAAGAATCTTAGCGTAGTGTACGAACTCCTTTGCACCGGCGAGGATCCTGAAATAATTTTAGGTAGATTTTTAACTAATAATTTTGCCCGGGCAGCGCCATTCTCTTTCCGATTTCCAACTGCCAAGGTATTTTTTTTTTCAAATCTGCGCAACAATACACACGGGTGTCTGGTCTTACTACCCAGAGACCAGAGGAAATTACTAAAAGTCTACGTGAACAAATCCCAGCTTTCACAGGGGCTTGAATCCGGGACCTCCAGCATCTGAGACCACTCAGCCCCCTGCCACTCTGGGCTTTGATTATGAAAGTGCAAGAGAGCTGGCGAGAGACCGAGGTTCTTTCATGCAGACCGTGATGACAGCGACTTTCTACATAGGACATACTACATGATATGATTTGCCCTTAACAAATTATGTTTTATGGTTAACAA